TTGGAGGGCGATGTTGTAGGATGGATACGTTAGAACCACGTTGCGACAGTGATTTCCCTGAATTGACGCATGAGCCGCTTCTCCTTCAGGCCGATGTCAGACTTTGCGAATCGCGCGATTCGCTAGCGTCTGCGGTCGCGTCGCGGCCAGTGAATCACTCAATTGGCTGCCGCAGCGCGCTAGCGAATCGCGCGATTCGCAAAGTCTGACATCGGCCTCACTCTCTCTGTGTTCTCTCGGCTCCTTTCGGTCCGTCCTAGTACCAAGAGGTTGGTGGCTGTGAGCCGCCACAATGCTCGGAATGTGAACCGTAGCTTCTGAAAGCATCTCAGAGAAAAGACTATTCATCCAACCTCGAGTCAGAGTCCACAAAAAAATGGAAGAGAGCAGAAAGGGAAAACACTTCATACAAGCACATATCGCAGTGTAGGCACCAAATCGATGACACTATCTACTACCCTGTCCGATTTGAACAAGCCTTCCGTTCCTGCGGGATCGAGAAATTTGCGCTACAGTCGTATGGGAAGATAGAGGCACTGATACCGGAACCTGTATTTCGGCCTCTACATCAAAAGCATGGCGCATCCAAAACAGATTGCGCTGTGTCTTAATATCTATAACAACACATATTTATAACACCTTAGAAACTTTTATTAATTGACAGTGGAAATTTTTCGTGGAGATGACCACTTTTCCAATTCAGCGCTTCCATTTCGAGCCAAATAGTCTTTCATTAGATATATCTTCCGTATCCCAAGAAGACATTGAGGCGATACAAGAGAGCGGTAGCATCTTATTTACTGGGTGAGAACTTTTCCGCTTGGTCAGCTGTTTGAAGAGTTGCACTTTTGATTTATAGGGTCGATGTTGAAAAATATAATCCACCCTGGGAACAGCTGATCGATCCGTAACAGCCTCCAATTCACTTCGTCGTATAGCGCAACTGCATGCTCGCACTCGTTTACTCGCTTCTCAGGACATGGATCACACAGGACCACTCGGCCGATGTCACACTCAGGGTCAAGCGAGGCGTTGAGGAAAATTTGGAAATACGACCCCCCCCCCACCACCCCTCCGCCGGAGGCCGAAGTCCATGAAACAACCCTCTTCAAAAGCCGAACTATGAAAAGGTTGAAAAGCTTGTTTAATTCTCCCCCAAACTGCTCATAAAAAAGCCCTGCTACCCCACCGCCCACAAAAAAATTCGTTTAAGAAGTACAAAAGTGAAAAAGTCAAAGAATAATCATTATTGATGAGTCCTACCAAACGAGCAAACGAGAAACAGAGCAGAAAACGACAAACTAGTCACTAAAATGGCGTACTATGACAACACCTCTTCTTTGTTTATTTCCTCCACAAGACTTACCAAATTCTAGTACTACACAGATTATGGTTCTCAATTTACACGTCCCCCTTTCGCTCAAAGGAAGCCTTGTAAAAGCCTTCGCCAGCTGTGTGTTGACTGGACTTTGGCGTTGACCGTGGAGCAGCTTATTTACTATTGAAATTTGAACAAATATTCAAATGATTATAACTTTCTTCAAAGTTAACGAATTTTCAATCTGAAAGCAGATTTGGAAGTTTTGTGAAGAGCTTTTTCTAATCAGTATTGAAATTACAAAGTTATAAGAAATAACAAATTTAGATCAATTAACGAGGAAAATTCGAGATGAGCACGAGTTTTTACACTTTCCGAAGCAACAACTTGCTTCATTTTCGTCAAATTCGAAAAGTTAATATGGCAGACAAAACTAGAAGATTTTCTCTACCAAACCATTGCTAAAGCAGCTCTATACGTCCAGTATTTCAAAAATGGCCACGTTGAGGATTTTTGCAAAATTAACGAGGAAAATTTGTGATGAGTGCGAGTTTTTTTACTTCCTAAAGCCATAACTCCGTTCAAACTCATCCAATCCGAAAAGTAAATACGCCATCATAAACTAGAAGATTTGCTCTATCAAATGCTTACTAGAACTGCTCCAAACGTCCAGTATTAAAAAAACGGCTACGTTGAGGATTTTGCACGAGTACCGCCGAAAGGTACTTTTTCGCTACATTGGCACTATTTCAACGGCTGTATATCCTTTTAAGGGCGATTATGTACTAAAGTAAGAGCAGATTTGGAATCACTGCTTTTCTCTTTCTAAGAAAAGTGATTGATTAGCGTTTCTCAACTTTAAAGGTTACATGTTTATAAATTTAACCCTGAAGAGTCCGTTAACGCAATGTTGAATGGTGTACACCTCCCTGTAAATGCGCACGGACACTTTCAGAATTCTCTCGATTGTTCCTGAATTGAGGTTGTTTGTCCAAGGAGCCGTAGTTGAAGCGCGCGCAACAACTAGACCCTTTCTCGGATGCGCCGTGTACCTCACATCCCTTCCGATTCGGGGTCTTACTTGAAAGATGAAATATCTCTTGGAAAGCGTGCGAAATTCAGATTCTTTAACTTGTGTGGTGATAAAACACTGAAGTAACTAAGAATTACCGGACGCCTCAGAATCACGAAAATTTTGTGTGGGTGAAATATCATTTTCATTGGAAATCCTCTGGCCTGGCATCGACTCATCCTTGATATTTGTCTTCCGACGGTGATGATCCCACTGCATCAAAATGGCTCGATCTCTTCCACCCAGCGGGCCAATACGACCCCCCCCCCTGCGACGTGTCGAGGATTCCTCAACGCACGCTTGACCCTGGTGACTTCGAATCCGTTGCCGGTTTCATAGACTAATCGCGAATACCCAGTCGATGAGTCTCAGTCGTTCGAGCGAGCACACTTCCACGAACCTCGAAGCCATTCACAGCGCCCTCAACAATGCGGAAACTGGGTGAGATCCCTCTTGATCTAGCGACCCGCCATCGAGAAAATGGCTAGAGTTTAACTTGCGCATGGGAGGAGTTCTTGCTACTTTAGCCCAGAACGCAACAGCGGTCCAACCGATGCACATGTCATACAGCAGGCGCATCGTTCGAACCGCTGGTACTTGGCTTGTAGCCCACGATTCGCGAGACATGAACAGGACTCGCCAAGTCTAACATTGGCGTGACACCGGCGAATGTCCCTCAAGAGGCCCGTCGCGCGGCGAAGGAAGAGACGCAGACGCGGCAAAGGACGAGTCGCAGCGCGTGCTGTGCGATATGAGACGTAGTATGGTACACTCTATTTAACCTGACGCCTAACCGCTACAGTATGCGCTGCGACTCGTCCTTTGCCGCGTCTGCGTCTCTTCCTTCGCCGCGCGACGGGCCTCTTGGGGGACACCCTGACACCGGCCTTATGTTATTGGCGCCGCGCCGCGTTCATTTGCGATTTTTACACGCACGTCGACTGGTTTCGCACTTTGGTCAAAGGCCTCAAATAGGTTCTCTTGCAATTTCTTCGCTCAATACTGGCAACACCATGGCCCTCACGATCCCGGAGTGGGTGTGCGTCATATGGCGCGATCCCATTGGCATTGGAGCGCACAGGCCGTAATTACCACATCCTGCTGTGGCCGGACAACTCGTCCGCGCAACACATTCTGTTCCGTTCCTCTTGCCTTGGCATCAGGCCAGCGAAGCTATCCACTCTTTTTTAGATCTTTGGGACTCAGCGAGATTTTTGAGACCCAAATTATCAGATCGATCAATTACTGAAGTCTAGTAGTTGAGTGATACGGACGAGTTGTCGGCCGCAGGATGGCCTGTGCGCTCTAATGCCAATATGATCGCGCCATATGACCGCCTCCCATCCCGGAGCATTGGTGTCACTACTACATATGGAGGCGTTCCGCATAATACATAACTTTATGGGATGAATTTACGTGAGCGGGCGACACTGCTAACGGCAGCGACTCGGTGGCTAAGTTCTCAGTCGAAGACCTTATTTTGAATTGTGTCGGATGGCGTCAGATCGCCTCGTACATATCGATACCACTGCCTTTTTTTCTTCTTCCTTACCGTACTTAGCAGGTGGAAACAAAGGAAACGATGTATTAGTGTGTAAAGAGTGAGTAGAGAACCGATGCTCACCGCAAACAAACCGCAAAATGGCAAATTATTTCTCCCTAGATCGGTGCGTTTATGCTTCAATCACCACCATATAAGACGCATAGCTCTGGGTGTGGTTCACTAGGACAGAAAGCGACTTTTTCGCGTTTCGCAGCGCGAAACATTTTCCGCTGCGGGAACCTCAGGTCCACCGCTGATCATCAGTGGACCCGAGGTTCCCGCAGCGAATCATCAGTGGACCCGAGATTCCCGCAACGAACAATGTTTCGCGCTGCGAAACGCGAAAAAGTCGCTTTCTGCCTAAGTGAACCGCACCCCGCCCTCTCATAGCTCTGGCGTACTTACGACTATTACGCTCACATCCCTAGATTAATATGTATTTTGAATAGGACCGAACACAGTGCAAAACCCTTCATGATGCACAAATTATAACATAACGCTCGACCACAATCTACATTAAAATCTATCATAAGCTAACTAATATCTTGTCTTTGGAACTTCCGCGTCACCCCACCGGAATCCTTTCCATATGACCGGTCCACCCCAGCCTCCTCCACTGCCTGGATTTCCAACCAAGCCATACAAGCCATTCTCCGAAACTCGGGCGTACTGCCAGAATGTGCCTACCACCAACGTCATAATAGCTGCAGTTATTCCAAGAGGAATATTGTCTTCTGAAAATAAATTAATTTAGTGAATAATAATTCAGAACATTATTTCAGCGCAAATTCGGTGAGAAAATAAAAGTCTTCCTCACTCATGGTAGCAAGAGTCGCGCCTAAAGCAGCACTGGCAAACAAATGGTTCTTAACATCATCCTGAAATTCAAAAATATGATTTCCAATGAATTATTCGCATTTCTGCTGGCATTCACTGGCTTCAGGAATCTTATTTCAGTTCCATGATGGGCCACGAAAAGGCTTACAAACCTTTAGTAGCCCCAATCATTACGACATTTGATTACAACAACATGATTCTAGCAACTAAAACAAAAATTTCAAAAAAAAAGAAGCATCTGAACAAAATGATATATTTTGGGCTTTTAATGCGTTTTAATATACCAGTTTAGCTCCGCCCGCTACCGCGCGCATTGATAGAACTGACGATGAAGCTTTAGGTTTCATCGCTAAATTATAGCTGCTTCGTTAAATGTATTACTGTTCGTTGCATAGGCTGGCTGTATCTCACTGTTTGATAAGCGCAGTGAAGTGCACAGCTAAAGTGATGATGTAAACAACCACTATGCGTCGAGTATCGAGGTAATTTAGCGGTCGAATATCTCAAAACGGAATGCCCAGTATTCATTATCATATTTATTCGAGCATCCCATTCATCCTCAAGAACTCTAGAAGGTGTAGTCGGAAGGTTTAAGTTTACAATTACAACGCTGATGAAATGACACTGAAATGAAAGGCATTATCTACAATCTGCTCTCTATTTTCTATTTCAAGGGCTCTACGTTCGTACGCATATCGTACTATCAGTCCTCATCAGTCGTTATCACTTTTGACCCCCACCAAATATGTTTCCGTCCCACCCCTATATCATGTCCCAAAATCAGCTCCTGACGACTGCTGCGAAGCGCACTATGAATTTCGTGAAATTTGTGTTTCAGCGCCTCTTATCTGCTCTTATCAGTCGTTATCACTTTGTGACCCCCACCAAATATGTTCCCGTCCCACCCCCTATATCATATCAAAAAATCAGCTCCTAACGACTGCTGCGACGCGTGCTATGAATTTCGTGACACACACACACACAGACATAGCGCTTTATATATGGTAAGGATAGAACTGATTTATTTTTTCCCTCTTAAGATTACACCAAAATATTACAGGTCGTAATCAAAGTGACCCGCAATGACCAAATGATCCAACAATGAAGGAAAACTAATAAAAATGGTAACACTCTCGGAACTTACCTTGTTACGGTAAGTTGCTGCAGCAGAAAGTGAAACTCCCCAAGAAAGCCATATGAAGGCTTGGCATGGAAAAGCGCTTAAAGAAGTCCTTGTCTAAATTTCTCCGCGTACGAGCACGTTAGAATTTAATCTCACACATCGTGTACGGCAGCACTGCAAAGGAGCAGAATGAATATGTAACATTTATATTATTCGAAGAATGCAACCGCTTACTTAGCATCGCGGTGTATTTTGCCATAGCCAGACCCTTCTCATGAGCAGCCTCATTCAGTGGTTTTTCGAAGAATCGTGGTCCAAAGTGGTACCAGTGGTTGGTGAAGAATCCCCCACGACCGAGCTCCCATTTTGGAACTGCAAGCTTAGAGTTATAGTGAAGAGAAGCTGAAAATGAATCGATGCGCTTACTGTTAAGTAGCTCGCTGAGAGCCGGATTAACATCGAATCCCGGATGTTCCTGCTTATATCGAATTTTTCGACAATATTTTTATACTGATGGGAACTCTTCCACATCTGAATTCATCTTTTTTTTTCTGAGAGAACGAATCAATGCACAAGACTCAAACCTTTGTTTGGAAGTCTTCCAAACTTCCTGGTTGGTCGGCTTTAATAGTGATATTGTTATGGTACATCGAATCAAGGCCAATCGGACCAGAATTAGATGTTCCATCAGGGACCTTAAGTACACAGGAATAAGATCACCTGAGATATGGTGACAAAACCTCGAAAAAGCAGAAAAACTGAAACAAAACTTGCAGGTTTACCTTGGGATCAAAGAACACCGGATCTTCCTCCTTATAGCGGTGACGTACCAAACGCAGCTTTCCGCTACGAACAACATCATCCCGAACACCGGCCTCCTTCCACCAATCCGGGCGGCCCTTGCTAAAACAGAAAAGGCTGCCTGATGATCAACTGATCAAAATTTATGTATACTTACGAATGCTCTGAACAATAGAAACCAAAAAAATTATGGGAATCTTATTTTCCTCGACGATCTCAATTCACTCATAAGCGTTTTCTTCAGCTGTTCAAGAAGCTTTACCATAAGCGTATAGACCCTATTAGAAGCCGTATCGATTGGAGCAAAATCAAAAAGATACCTAACGCATGGCCAGCACCAGCTGTACTACTACTAGTCGCAGCTTTTAGGCTCTAAATCGCGAAAATACTGATGTAGTTGGAATAAGTATAGTCGATAGAACATAAATTAGGTCTAGGCTCATAATTACCGTTGCGAATAGTATTATCAAGAAAATAAAGTGTGAAGCATCGAGTTGATTGTAGGATTTCGTTGGAACATTAAAAACGAAGTTAAATAGATAAAAACTCGAAAGGAGGCATATGCCAATGAAAACTTCAAGAATTTAGTTTACTGACCACTACTCAAAAGACTTCAAGGGATTTTTTTAGTAGGTGACACTCCACGAGTGCCTTTGTATTCTCTAAAATGGTCCACAGGCTACTTGAACGCTGTCCCAGAAAGCGTCTGTGTGCTGCTCCCATATGCACTCCCTCGCCTAAACAGAGTACCGTGATCGTTATAACTTCGCAGACCCCAGTTCTTGCCTCATGTCAAGTGGCCTATCCACCCCACCCCTTGGTCCCTTACATTCCCTTTTTCCCAATTTTCTTGCTAAAAAAAATTAGAAAACCGCAGCTGCCCTCTGTAAGTCTGCGTATTGCCATTGGATTAGAGAGCATGAAAGAAGTTCAAATTCACACCCTCAGAATGCAAAAGTTGCAGATCAAGCATTCCTTAGGAGTTAGGGCGAGATGAAAAATCCTTTCTTCCTGGGGCCGTATGCTGAATGTTGGGGAGGGAATGGGGATGGGAAAGTTTGGGGAGGTTCGTCGCAGGACCCACTGGGCAACGGCCGCACCTTTGATTTTGTAGCTTTGTTTCCATTCTTTCATTGCTGTTTTTTGTATGAAGAAAGGTATTGACGGCCCCTGATACGTCGACCGCGGACAACTATGAAGAGCATTTTTACCATTCCTATAATACTGTTCCCACAGTAACTAATATAGGCGAGAACTAATCCATACTTACTGGACTACACTTGTTCCAACTGCACTGGTGTTTAAGCGCTAAAGAGGCACTGAAACGAACTGTTATGGATCTAGATCACGGCCGTCAATGCCTGTCAAAAAAAAAACTCGAGCCTTACTATTCACGGCTACTCCACAGTCCAATCCATGGTGGCCGTTGTGTCTTGTAGGTGGCAACGAGAGGAGTGCCCTCGTCGTGGCCCATGGTTCAACCTGCAACAAAACCAATGGAACAAATGTACAAGATCAAGTGATGGGAAAGAGATCAACTCATTGGATTGGCCGATGTCAGATTTTGCGATTGGAGCGATTTTGCACCAATTGCAGGAGCGACGGATCGCTTGAGATTTACCCCGCCGAATACCGATACACACGGCGCCGCTCGGGTAAATCTCCCGTCGCTCGCATCGCTTGAGCGATCCGTCGCTCCTGCAATTGGTGCAAAATCGCTCCAATCGCAAAGTCTGACATCGGCCATTGACGAAAAACCGGACGGAATTCACGGTGAGAACAGAGAAGCTGAAACAAAAATGAGAGCAAGTGAAACGGATCGCTACAACAGAAAGCAACCGGAAGGTAACATTTGAAACTCTTACACTGAGAAATGAACAAACCAACAACTTCGAAATCCTTTCCCCCTTTCCATCTCTTATTGATGAACGGAACGGAGGAATCGGTGCAAAACTAGATGGGTGGGACATCTTGATTTCACAGCTTACATGGGCCTCAATTCTTAGAAGGGAGCAACTTCGAAAGCAGTTTTGCACCCCAAATACTGTAACCACCCGGCTGTACTTGGAGTGGTCAGCGCCCCGTCCCCCCGCCAATAATATTTTGATGTGAGAACAAAAAGAGGAATAAATCAGATGAGGCTTACTCTACTGAGAACCGCATAGGAAATATGAAAGATAAAAGTAAGAGAATGACACAAAATCTAATTTCAGTAGTTGTAAAATGGTTTTGGAGATCGTAATTGAAGGAAAGCAACATGATTCACGAAGTAAAGAGCAATGGGCGCAGTGACACTACCTCACTTTGTAATTTGCTTGCGCAATTAGAACTTATATCGGAAAAATCAGCGAAAAAAATGTCAAACCAATTCACAATCGCTAAGCTGATTTGGACGAAGACGCCCACCTCGCTCCCATCACGGAACTCATTTTGGGTAAATAATGAAGGTTTTGAGAAAGCCGTTCCCTCTCTTCTCTGAAACTCTAC